CTAATTATATTTTAGATTTTTTATATTTAAAATGAGATGTTTATCCTGTATTTGATTGTGTTTATTTTCTGTTAGTTACACGAATTCAGATATGGAATGAAATCGAATAGGGATAAAATCGTTTAGGGATGAATGGGTTTAAGAGTTTTTAAAAGTTTTAAAAAAATTTAAAAATTTTAAGAGTTTTTAAGAATTTTAGCCAAATGCTTTATAATATAGTATAGATAGTATAGATTAATTACGGTATTTACTTTACCGAAAGCGAAACTAAAGTTTCTAATGGTTTTTTATTCAATATTATAGGTTTTCAATTTATGGGTTTAATAAAATGTTTTCTTTCATATAAGGAAATACAACTTATATAACTAAAATATGTTTTATTATAAAAATACCAAGTTTACCCTTAGAGGACTCTAAGGGGCTGTTTACCAAATGTTTACTTAAGTAAATGTTTACCAAGTTACGTTATTTTATTGGATGAATATGATAAGGACTAAAAATATTACCCGGTAAGAGAAAAGGCAAGGACCGAGAGTCTTGTACGGTAAGTGATGACAATGACTTTTACCACGGTTAGCGTTTACCGGATAAATTATTACATACAATGTCGTTTTGGTGGACTCAAATCTTACTCGGTAAGTAAACGATAGTATTGATTATTACCGATAAACACTTACCGGGTAAGTTTTTAGGTAAAGGCTCCTAATACTAGAAAATCAGATGATAGATTGAAACATAAAATAGCTTCGTGCTCTTTTAATTACTTGGATTTAAATGCTTTTATATCTTCTATAAAATCATTCAGATCCAAGTACGATGATCCACCATCTTCTACCGCCATCTTCGCCTTCTCCTTCAGCACTCGAGCTCGCTTTCTCATTTCTTCACCTTCCTCCGCACTCATTACCTTCGCCACCACTTTCTCGACCGCCTCCCTCTTTACGCCATCGCAGCTTGCAGTCGCACTCCACTCTGTATCACCAATCGAAACCCCAATTTGTAGAATATCAGTCACCAGTTTCGCGTTATAGAACTGCTCCGCCATGACTGGCCAGGTCACCATCGCCACCCCACTGGAGATACCTTCCAACACCGAGTTCCACCCACAGTGAGTCACGAACACGCCAACCGATTCATGATCAAGAATCAACGTTTGTGGCGCCCATCCCGTTATTATCAACCCTTTGCCGTTCACCTTCATCCTCGCCTCGAACCCCTCCGGCATCCATCCTTCTCGCTCGTTCTTGATAACCCAAATGAAGTTTTCATTGCATGCTTCGAGCCCCATCGCGATCTCGTGAAGTTGAGAGGTCGTGGCTTCTGCAAGCGTTCCAAAGCTTAAGTAAACAACCGAATTTGGTGGCTTCAAATCCAACCATCTTAAACATTCGTCTTCCTTGATCGCTGCTTTCTTCCCTCTTTCCAATTTATCATCCGTGTTCTTGTTACATAACGAAACTGGTCCGATATGCCATGCTTTTCGCTTCATAACTTCCCGATAATGGCGAACGTACTCTGGCTCGAGCTCATTGAAGCTGTTAAAGATAACTCCATAACTCGTTTCATCTGCTTTCATGGATTCAATAATCACCTCCACAAAACCTTTGAAGATTTCTGCCTCCAAATCAGGTAGTTGCTTTCTGGTTAGCTTGATCTCATGGGGAAGATGAGGTATGATAAACGGTTCTGAATCAGATGAAACTCTTTTATGAGGCTCGTAGAGTCTTATTGATTCAGAAGCACAGAGCGGAAAGAAGCCACTTCCATGGAAAACGATTCTGGGGACATCGAATTTGGCTGCCATTTTAGTAGTCCACGGATAGAACATGTCCGCAATAAGACAATTCGGGCGATATTCTTGAATGAATTGCTCGACAGGTTCTTGAAGCATTGAAATGGATTCACGAAAATTGGATATGGATTCATTGGATATGGATTCATCAGAACGGATTTGATCGGAGTTCTCGTATCCTTCGATGATATGGAGGGCAATTTGGTGTGGGAAAGTGGTGGTTTTTTGGATTGATTTGGAGAAGCGATGAACGTTGAAAGGGGTGGTGATGATGGTGGTTTGCAGGCCACGGGAGGCGAAGAGCACCGCCATGTCCGCCATAGGAATCAGGTGGCCGTAAGCCGTGAAAGGGAAGAAGACAACATGACAAGCGGCCATTGTTGAATGTTTAAGAAGACAAGTCGTCTTAAAACTCTCATCAAAAAGAGAAAGAAAGCTATGCTTTTTAACAAATACTACAAGGGTAACTTTGTAATTTCGTGTTGTTTTAATAAAGTAAAAAAAATGTTAAAAAGGGGATGTTTGAGATTGCTTGTTTGAAACAACTTATATTTTTCTATAAAAACACTTATTAACTTATTATAAGTCAGAAGAGTTTAACTTCTTCAAAAACTTCTTATTACCGGTTTGACACCGATATAAGTTGTTTATCCAAACATTCAAAAGTGTTTATTACCGGTGTCACCTCGAAATAAGTCAATAAGTTATTTTTATAAGCAATCCCAGATTCCCATTATCAATTTTATGACCAAATTTTAAATTTTCATCTCGTAACGAGCATTAAATAGCCATCCAATAACCTTTTGTAAAAAAAGAACTACAAAAATAACATAAAATTACATTTTTTACAAAATAGCCATCCAATCCTCCTTTATCAACGAAAAATACGAAATGCCAATGGCTCACAAAAGAACAAAAAAATGACTTGACCCCACGTGGATGTAACAAAAGTTGCCGCCGATATAACCTGATGTGACCTGTCAAGCAAAAAGCAAAAGTACACTTCACCGTCAACTACCTTCACATCCGACGAGGAGAAGCACATGGTGGTGTGCAAAATGGCCCATCAGCACCCCCTCCCCCTTTGGCGGTGCCGATTCTCCTCGCCCGACGTGAAGGTAGTTGATGGTGAAGTCAGTTTTTGCTTTTTGGTAGGCAACAAGTCACATGATGTCGGGTCAAGTTAGTTTTTTGTTCTTTGACGGGCTATTTCGCATTTGTCATCGAGAAAAGGAGGATTGGTTGTTTTTTTAATGTATATTTAGGCTATATTATAGTATTAAAAATGGCTATTTGAGTTGAGAATCCAAAGGAGAGAGGGACGGAAACTTTCACACCTTTTAGAACCAATTCTTACTGAAATCAAATATAAAACTGAATTATGTTATGATACGAAATGAAAAAGTCCTTATTACCCTTCCCTATAAATAAACGAAAACACACGTGACGTCAAGTTCGTATTGTTAGACTAGAGCTTTCACAACTCACAACGATAGAATTTGTTATCGTGAATGTTGCCTCCAGATAGTTTCATGCTCTTTTTTATTTTCAAGAGCAAACTCTAATTTCCGTCCTCACGGTTCAGTGAAATCTTTAAAGGTGGGACTTAAACTTTGATAACTATCGTTCCCATGGTTTCCATTTTGATGCATTTTCAAAATGAAAAAATAACAGTGACGATGGTAAAAGCTTGTTGAAAAAGTTGTTTTTGCTTTATGAAAACTTTTATATTTTTTACTGGATTTTCAAATCTCGATATAGAGAACTTCTTAAAAGTATTTCTCTGATGATGATTACAGGTTTTTATAATAAGGTTATGCATAAAGCTTCACATATTCTTGTTTAAGTTACGTTGCTTCTTCATCTAGTAATATTTCGCATCAATAAGCAGAAAGATATAGGCGACTGTGTTCGTGGTTACTAGCGGTAGAAGACAGAGGAGTGAAAGAAAATCAATGACACAAGATCCAACAATCGGAAATGATGGTGATGTACTCCCTAAAGTCGATATGGGTTCTTCTGACTCTTCTGCTTTAACTGTTCCAAACACTCTTGTCTCGGCCTCCACCACCTTCTATGATACCCCTACTACATATGGTTTGGTTCACTTCCTTCATAAAGAAAGGAGAGATAACCATGTGCCTAAATGTGGGGTTGGGTATTGTTTAATGGATCTGGTTAAAAAGAAGCCTAAATGGACAAAAATGCTCCTGTCACTAGCAGAAAACACAAATAGAGTCAGTGACGAGAGACCATTTTCAGAGCAAAATGAAAACCACGGGACGGTTCCTAGAGTTATCCAAGTTTATTTGGTGGCTTGTGTGGATTAGGGATGAAATTGTTCCCTGACCGGTACCGAACCGATTGGTATCGATTTTAATGAGACTCAAAACTAGGACCGAGAACCGAACCGCTTACATGCATCCAATTCAGTTTCGGTCCAATTTCAATTCGGGAATATGGTCATCGAGTCTTATCCCTAATGTTGATCGGTAATCATTTTGGCATTTGCACACCAGTGAAATCCGTGGCATTCCCCACACGTAATTATATATATATATATATATAACCTATTAAAAAGCTTTTAACTTAACTCAACTGTCAATAAAACTTGAATTTTAAGGTTTTTTTATACATCATCGGTTCGAGTCCTACAAGCTCATTAAAAAATTTCTTGAATGTTTTTCAAACCTTTTGAAATTAGTCGAGGTGGTCAAAACGGGGCTAGAACACCCAGGTTAAAAAATGTGTTAACATGTTTTTAAAAAAAAAGTACATGTAGTGGTTATATATATATATATATATATATATATATATATATACATATTTGGGTATATGTGAGCCTAGCCTATTTTTGTAAGACCATCTTTTTATACTTGAAACTTTATAGTAAAACATTGTAAAAGTAACATTCAGAATGTTTTTGCTATGAATGTTCGGATTCATTTTACCTTCACAAACTTTTTCTTATGAAGATTCAAGTATAAAAATGTGGTCTCACGGATCTCATGAAAACAAGCTAGTCTCACGTGAAAATAACCCTATATCTATACTATATTATAAAACATTTGATAAAAACTCTTAAAACCCATTTTTTATGCACGAATTACTGTTTATTGATGCATATTACTTAAAATTCAAGACTACAAGTAAAGTGTACGTAAATACAACTTATTAAAACTCTATGTTTGAATTCGTGTACCTGCGGATAAACATAACCAAATAGAGAATAAACATCTCATTTCAAAATATAAAAAATCTATAAAAAGACTAGGATAATTATTGAGTTCTAACAAAACAATTAATTATTATCTTTATGAAAAATTATATTATTAAACCAAATATAAATTACTTCGTTATCAAACATAAATTAAATTATAATAAAAAAATTGAATTAAAAAAAATTACATAAAAGACGAGAAATTTTAAATAGTTAATTTGATATTAATATCGACATATTTTTGTCAAAATTTTATGATATATTTAAATTTATATTTTATTCAAAAATAAAAACATTATCGTTGTTTCAAAATCACATAAGACCATATTATAACATCGACTGAGATAAAAAATAAAACAAAATATTAAAATCAAAATATATATATCGATACATTGCACGAGTACCCTTCTAGTATGTATATGTATGTATGTATGTATATATATATATATATATATATATATATATATATATTAAGTTGAAGAAAGAAGTTAAAAAATAAATCATAAATTTTCATTTAATCTAATTAATCATAGATTTTGGAGAAAATATATTTTAATTAAAATGATAATTAAGTAGAGGATATTCTGTTAAAGTTAAATCTAAATTATTTTAAATATACATATTTTTTTAATCAAATAAAATACGTAAAAATCTTTAATTTGATATTTGTAAATTAAATCAATGATAATAATACGATTGTAACATAATAACACACATTGTAATATTTAACACGAAAACTTTTAACATATGTAAATAATCCTTTCATTAAATATTTTAGAAATTCATAAAAGTCAAGGGATAAATAAATCAAACATTATTTTATGTTTGACGTTTTTCCTGTTTACAAATCTTGGTTTGATCACTTCACATCCCCACCGCAATTATTAACCACCACCTTCCATGATTTTGTACCGTCGCTGTCTACAATCGACTCGTCTCTTTCTTATTAAACTATGTTGCTGATACTTTTATATGCGACAAAAATAATTAAGGATGACGTAAGAATAGAAGAATCGTACTTTAAAAAAGCTGATCTTCTTCGGTGTATATTAATGATGACGAGTGTCATTGTCTAGGTTGGATAGTAAAAAGGCTGAACTTTATGTTCGTGTCTTGTTTGTGAACGACTGAGATGAGAGTTGGTGTATCGGGATATGGTGTTTCAGACATTCGGGATCATGTCATAATAAATACTTTTTTTTTCCTTACAGACTTAAATCCAATCCAAGATGCAGAACTTGTTGGGTTTTTACCATAAGAATTGATCCCACATAGGAAAGAAAGGGGAAGAGTGAATGGTTTATAAGACCAGTATCATAAGTCTTATCAAGATGGACTAAAGCCCTTACAATTAGATTGGGCTTTAGCATGGGCCTTAGGCCTTGGACTCTTGATCATGACAGAGTGTTTCGACTAGAGATGGCCAAAAATCGGTCCCGGGCCGGACCTTAACCGGTTACGGCCGGTCCTAATCGCGACAAAAAACGCCCATAACCGGTCCCTCTATAACCGGTCCCGGTCCCGGTGAAAAACTCTATAACCGGTCAAGCTTTACCATAACCGGTTAAGCCGGCCGGTCCCGGTTCTGGTCCCATAACCGGTTACGGCCGGTCCTTTGAAAAAAACATGTTTTTTTTTGTTTTTTTGGTAATTAATAAATTTATAATATGTTATTAATATCTTTGAAATATGTTATTTTTAATATGTTTTATTATATATACGTTTTATTATATATTATATATATACGTTTAATTTTATAAATACGTTTTGTTATATACGTTTAATTTTATAAATACGTTTTGTTATATACATTTAAGAATACACTTTAAAAATACGGTTTACTCAAATACGCTTTAAAAGTACATTTTATTATGATTAAAGTGCCTTTCGTTTCTCCGTCGTGAGAACCACCAAGTTGTAGTGATTCCAAATCTCGGACTTTCGTCCGTGTTCGTTGAGAACTTGGGCAATTTGTTCGTTTGAGGGTTGTTCACCGGCCATTTTGTAAATCGTAAGTAAAAGAGAGAAATAAACGAGAATTGTGAAGTGGAAACGAGAAATTAATACAACGAATTCAAAAAATGAAGCGAAAAACCGAGAATTGAGAGCGTTTTTTGCGTTTTTGAAGATGAGAAGAGTTGGTAACTAACTAAGGAACTTCCATCTCTATGTATACATGTTTTGGTAGCTAAGAAGATGAAAAAAAACGGTCATAAGGGAGTCCAACGGCTAGTTTGA